GTTACAACAATAGAGCCCCTAGGATGTCTTCCCAGCATAACGTCATTTCTTTCATATCAAAACTGCAATGAATTTGCCAATATGGCTTCAATGTTCCACAACGAGATTCTGCTTCAAAAGTTAGAAGAGTTGAACAAGGAGACAAAGAATTCGGCATTTGTCGACTTGGATCTCTATAATGCGTTTATATCTGCAGTGAAGCCCCCAAAACATCATCAAGGTAATAAATCCCTTTTCCGCGAACGCTAATTGATCCCTTCTACTTGTATTACTTTTGGATTTTGCTATTTGTTTTACATTTACTCATCACCTTGCTCACCACCTTTCTAATAAAGTAGGTACCATCCATATGGGTCATTTTTAAATACGTCTATAAGGTGGTGGTCAATAAAGGTGGTCCTACTCATGTATATATGTCTATATTTGATCATATTCTTTCTTTAATAGCAGGATATTCGACATTCCACATTAACACACTAAAGCCATGTTGTGTTGGGGTGAGCAATGAATACTCATGCGGGAGTGTGGATCAGACTGGTGCAAAGAAGTACATTGTATGCGATAACCCTGATGTTTCTTTCTTTTGGGATACGGTACACCCTTCACAGAATGGTTGGCATGAAGTTTATGCCGCTATAAAACCTTCTCTTCATCAATTGTGTTCGTGATTTATAGTGTAGTTTAAACTTTGCCCCTAGAAGGTTGGATTGCATGAGAATTGATTAATGTTTTCTTTGAATATGAGAAGTAGTAATTAACTTCAAAAAATATGATTTTAAGCGAACCTAGCTTAAATAAGAAAGAAAGTGATACTAGAAAACCTTAATGGGCTTCAACGCTCAATAAAATGCATTCGCAATCCATTGAAGAGGTTCACCATGAGAAAATTAATGTACATTCGAATGCCAATTTTTCTTAATAACTAATTGTGAATGAAGTGTGTTACAATATTGAACAGATGAGCTTTTTATTTGATTTTTTTATTCATGCAATTAGATATTTAACAATTTATTAATATTTTAGGGGACATATCATGCCTATTGATCTGAGCTGCACTATCTCTGTGGTAAGTAAGGAAGGGGCTGCCAGAACAAAGGTTACAAACTCTAACAACAATCCCACACTAGGCCTTTTATACCCTGAAACTACATCTCTGTATAAGAATTCTATGTAATTTAAGAATTCTATGTAATTTTTAATTTCCTTCATTGAAATGGAGGGTACGTAGCAACACCAACAACTCAATCACTCAAAAATCACATTAGAAGGGATGGGTGAAAGGGAGGGGAGAGATGTAAAGGTTCTCCTATTCAACAATGTCTTCCAAATTGAAGAACAACACATACAAAGTTATACAATTTTTCATATACCATCAAGAATTTATATCCACCGTCTCACTTTCTTGTCAAATATCCCTCCTCCATATGTAGAAATGAAAATCTCAACAAGAAGGGGAAATTGCATCCAAATAAATAAGGTGACTGGAACGCTGGCAAGGAAAATGATTGGAATGACAATCCATAGTCTTTCACGAAGCATAAGGAAAAGAGCAGAACAAAAGGCAACCATCATGGAAGCGATGGAGATCAAGAGTGTTGAAAGGCCGATTATCATCTTTGTGGGTAAGGATTTTAGGAAATCGTCTTCTGCATATCGTGATGTAAGGATTCCCAAAAACATTAACACTGAAGTTGTGGAAGAAAAGAGCGATATAGCATCTGAAACTATAAAAAACATAAACATCTTTTCATCTAAGAACAAGGGAAAGCCTGTTCCTCCATTGTTTCCGCCAGGCACCGTGAAGGCTGCAGCAAACATGATGGTAATAGTGAGAGCACCTACAACTGTACAAGAGGTTGCTGTATCTTTCATCCACTTTTCTCCTTCTTCCTTCAATTTATTATGGTTCTGGGTAAATAGTTCATGGGGTCTCATACCCTGTTTATTGAAAGCTCCCACTCCCGAGGGTAAAACTACAAGACTTTTCACCTCCTGCATTTCATTAAACATATAAACCTCAAGTTCGTTGTGGTTAGCCGGTAACTAACTCTAGAATCACTGCTTTCATGGAAGGCAACATAACATATGAAAGAAATACCACAAGGAGCATTGTTGACCACAACGTAATAAAACTTGTCAGGATTTCACTGTTGTTTACTACCTACTTTTCCATGAGGCAAGTCAAATTTTTGTAGTTACTAAATATTAGTTTGTTGGGATCTCACCTCGTGCATTTCATTAAACAAAACCTTTCAATAGGAGAAAACAAAACATAACAAGCTCCTGAGGAGTTTTGTAAAATTATTAGACATAAACAAACTAAAAAGTAGAGCCACTTGACTGTATCCTCCCTGACATATCAAAGAGAGCCATAGCACCATACTGGCTAAACCTGAACCCTACGCAGCCCAGCAGCATCCCCGCCTTGTGGCTCCAAACCCATGTCAAACGCTGAGAACTGGAGCCAAATCCTTGTGGGTACATGGCCAAAAGACAACAACTGTCACGACAACAACTGATTCCACACCAGAAAACCAAAAAACAAAAACTGGAAAGCTGCGCGGAAGAACTGGGAGGGGGAGTGGAGGAAGGAGAGGGAAGGAGGGAGGCCACCAACCCACAAGAGGGCGGCGACATGGGTTTTCTTTTTTCTTATCCTTAGTGTTTTAAATAGCTCTTAAATTTTCTCTTGTTCGCCTGTTAATATAATAAACGTGAAATCTACTCTAAATTAATTGAATTTTAACCTACGTTTCCCAACTTGAAATAAAAGAACATTTTAACCTTATCAAATATGCCTTACAGTATTTCTTGGCATATCAAATATGTGGGCGTGGTGTCACATTTTTAACCTTTGAATGAATTTTATAATACATGTTTAGAATAAAAACAAGTAGATGGTAGCAGAGAAAAACGTTTTCATGAGTCCGAACTGCCTCCTTCCCAAAATCATTCAACCAGACCGCAAAACCTCCTATCCTCTCATCTAGTGTTCCCACCTCACTTTCCATATGGCACCTCAACTACACTAGAAAGCCCTACCAACCTAATACTGCCACTAGTTTCATCGACAACATATCAACCCACAACCACATTTACAAGCTACCACTCCAGCACCTAATATCCCACAATACAACTAGCTCTAAATACAATTAATTTACAAGAAAGATATAGAATGAAGATATCTAACCTTGAACCATTGTCTTTCTCTCTGCATTTGCAAGGCTGCACCTGAAATACGATCAAGTTTTTCTGTTGGAGATAGCATCCCTGCAAGATGTAGCATATCATTTCCAGAAGCATCTGCAAATGTTGCAATAAGATTTCTTTGACCAACCCCATATATGAGGCTATATACTTTTTCCTGGCGACGCTCAACTGCATATTGAAATATGTTCCTTCCCATTGAATTGGGTTGCCACAATATATCCGGATCTACTTTACCTAAATGAATAACGAACTCAATAATCCCAGTTTGTACAGCTCGGAATAGTGCTCTATAGACAAGGCCTTCTATCATGTCTTGAGTGTCTAGATCTTTTATCACTTCACACATGTAATCCAAAATATCCAAGGATCGAGCATGGATCAATTTCATTTCACATATGCGGTTGATTCCTAGGTTGATGTTGGAAAAAATGTTACAACCGGTTTTTGTAGAAATAAAATACGTTGATAGAGTTTAAATAAGTGGAGGAGAAAACCAATGTACAAAGACACCTACAAATAAAGATGGAAAAGAATGTTTGCATATATACCTAAAAGCTTGTGGAGGCTTGAAGAAGGCCCTTGCGTTAAACCGAAGACTGCAATGCAAATACAATTTATGAATGTGCTTTGCTATATGATTCCCAGCTTCTTATTAAGATTTTAGTTCTTGTTTATGAGCGTACTAGAACCAATTTCTTTTTGTGGCAAACTATGCCATGATCAACTTCTTATCAAATAGATGTTTGAAAAAAAAACAAAAAAACCATATAGCTAGGGTTTCAAGATCTAGCAAACCTGAGAAACTGATATTTTGGTTGCCCAGTTTCTCTTCTAGATTTTCAACATTGACGCGAACATCATGGATGGCAGGAGGATGTTGTATGTGTATACCTATAAAGAAAAGAGAACAAAGCTCAGTCAATATAATAAATAAATATTTTTTTTGGACATGTAAGATCAATTTCAATAACTATTATCTTTTGTGATAATAGATGTTAAACAAATAAATGGACCATTATGGTAGGGCCCTCCGTGTAATGTGATCCAATGATTGAAATCTTTATTAATGGTGTAGATGAACTGTCAGCAAAATATATTAATGGCGTAGATGAACTGTTAGCAAAATATATATGGGATATAATGAATTTGATAGTAGCAAGAGAAAAAAGAGTGTATTACTAACCATCATAGATCCACTTTTCCCAGAATTTGAGCCGTGTGCCGCTCGGAAATGCAGAACGGACATAAGCCAAATCAAATATTGGGGATCCTCCCCACTGAATTGGGTTGCCACAATATATCCGGATCTACTTTACCTAAACGAATAACGAACTCAATAATCCCAGTTTGTACAGCAAGGAATAGTGCTCTATAGACAAGGCCTTCTATCATGTCTTGAGTGTCTAGATCTTTTATCACTTCACACATGTAATCCAAAATATCCAAGGATCGAGCATGGATCAATTTCATTTCACATATGCGGTTGATTCCTAGGTTGATGTTGGAAAAAATGTTACAACCAGTTTTTGTAGAAATAAAATACGTTGATAGAGTTTAAATAAGTGGAGGAGAAAACCAATGTACAAAGACACCAACAAAAAAAAGATGGAAAAGAATGTTTGCATATATACCTAAAAGCTTGCGGAGGCTTGAAGAAGGCCCTTGCGTTAAACCGAATACTGCAATGCAAATTCAAAATCTAGCCTTTATCAAAAGATAAATATGCCTTGTTCATACAATTTATGAATGTGCTTTGCTATATGATTCCCAGCTTCTTATTAAGATTTTAGTTCTTGTTTATGAGCGTACTAGAACCAATTTCTTTTTGTGGCAAACTATGTCATGATCAACTTCTTATCAAATACATGTATCATTGAAAACAGTTTGAAAAAAAAAATAAAAAATAAAAAAACCATATAGCTAGGGTTTCAAGATCTAGCAAACCTGAGAAACTGATATTTTGGTTGCCCAGTTTCTCTTCTAGATTTTCCACATTGACGTGAACATCATGGATGGCAGGAGGATGTTGTATGTGTATACCTATAAAGAAAAGAGAACAAAGCTCAGTCAATATAATAAATAAATATTTTTTTTGGCCATGTAAGATCAATTTCAATAACTATTATCTTTTGTGATTATAGATGTTAAACAAATAAATGGACCATTAGAGCAACTCCACCCATTTGCCCTTAGCCATGGCAAGGGGGGGAGCTAGGGCAGCCCCTCT